GTTCTCTAGTCTTGGATGGAATAAAATATTTACAGTTTTTTCATTTTTTTTTTAATTTTCCTGATTAATACAAATTTTGAAAGAAACCACCTTATCTAAATCGGTAACTAGAGAATCTGTTTTATCGATCATAGTAACTAGTTCCATCCAGTTGCCAAGTGTGTCGCTCTAAACGTGGTGCCAACTTTCACTGCAGGTTTGACAACTCTCTTTTCTATTCCTTTCTCTATGGAACATTCACTACAAATTACCCCTCCCTAGCAAAACGAACCAGCTGCTTGAAACTTAATATCGAGAAACACTTCCCACAATGGAAAAACCTTTCGGCAATGTGCGAGACCCATTGGGTTGAAAATCATAATTGGTTGTTAAGATTTGAGGAAATCTATACAAAGCTATTCTTGATACACTAGAGGACTTGAGCACTGACATGGATTCTGAAACATCGTCGAAGGCAATTTTTTTTCTGGGACTGGGACCAGTCATTTCAAGTTATTTTGTTATAAGCAGCTTATGTTGCCTAAGAATGTTATTCTCATACACACTAACACTATGCAAAATACTCCAATCTCCCCTATGCGATTTGGCAGCAGCTTTACAACATGTCGATTAAATCATAGAGACTAATGGAGATGTTCGCCAGAATATTGATTCAAAATTCGCTGAACTATTCAAGAATGCACAGAATTTGCTCAGTAATGTAAACGAGGAAATTCCGCGAATAGCATCACGCCAAGAGTGTTGGGCAAACTACAATACAAAAGATCCTGAAACTTACTTTAGAATTACCATAATGATTCCACTTTTGGATGATTTCATAGATCAGCTTCAGTCAAGATTCCAAAATCATAAAGCCACATTATCATCTCTCAACATTTTAATTCCGTCTGTGTGTTGCAAAGAACAAATTATTCGTAATTATCAAGAAAACTACTTTGAACTCTATGAAAAATATTTGGAATGGGACTTTGTAAAAGCTGAATTAGACATGTGGCGGATTAAATAGCTGGAAGAATCTGAACTAGATTGTGCTGAAACCAATTCCAGGTGAATAGCACCACTACAACGTCTAGTTTGGACATGAGTATATAAATATAATAGTAATTCAAATATATTAAAAATAGCAATATCCCCTTCCTTTATTTGATTAACCCGCCGAAAATGATGGCAGCGAAATGTCGAAGGTCACCTGTCACCTCGATTCGTCGTCTTCGTGTTATTTTCACTATCTCGGGCGCACCAGGGTTGTGTCACCTGCATAGAAATAATCATCCAGGGATATGCGTTATGTGGGTTGTCCACACTTAATGCACATCAGAGTATAGTTGGTTGCATACGAGGTTACTGTTGATGGCGCGAGCAGTATTTAAATGATTTAAAGAAAAACAGGATAACCTACACATTTTTTGTAACTTATGTTTTATTCACAATAATTGTACCTTGTGGCTGAGGTCGCCTTTTCTGATTCAACCTTGATAGAAAATGGTTGGTGCCTCATGAGTTCATCTAAAAATTATCTCTCAACTAAAATTAATATTGAACCTTGTTGGTTTTCAACAAGTGGTAGGACATCACGACGTTCACACTTGAGACCTGGTCAATTCAATCATAGTTGTAGCACAAATTCGCATACCTTCGACGTCCTCAGAATAAAGATTTTGTGGAAACTACCCGTTGAGTATCAGTCAGCCAAACCCCCATCAAAATCAACCCTGAGATTAAGAGCTTCTGTACAAGATCGACCAACATGTGCTATTGAAGTTCTCGGAGAATGCAACCAGGCCTTGTTTCCACACATTCACAAACTTTTAAAGATCTTGGTGACACTGCCTGTTTCGACATCGAGTTCGACATGTACCCCTGAAAGGACTTTCTCTTCTCTGAAACGCCTGAAAGATTATTTAAGAAATTCCACATGCCAGGAAAGGCTGAACGGTTTGGCATTAATGTCAATCCACCGCAGAATTGACATCGACACAGAGGAGGTAATTGATTTGTTCGCTGCAAAGAAAGCTAGAAGACTGAATTTAATTTTATAACAAGATTTTGATATTTCTGTAATGCTTTCCTAATGAATATTAAATATATGATAAGTAACATCATTTCATTTATTTTATTGTAACAATTCTTCGATTTTCTACTGTTCCACGAAACCAAACCCCCCCGAAATGGTTTTCTGTCTACGGCCTTGCCGGTGTCACTAGATGTTGAGGAAAAAATACATGATGGGGTAAATAGTAGTTTACCTAAAATTCACTGAATCTCAATCAAAGTGAATGGGTTAGACCTACGTACAGCCGATGTAATGTCGATGAAGGAAATTTCACTATCTCATATGAACAACTGAAATCGATTTTTGATGACAAAAACCAATTTATCACTGAAAGGTGGCCTTAACTAGTTTAATCAAAAATCGAAAGTGTGAATAATGTGTGTATATTGAATTTCAAACAAAAAAGATATGTCATTTCAAAAGACTACATGAAGATGTATACATATTGTAGTCACAATTGTAAGGTTTTCGACATAATTAAAGAGAATGTATCGATCGTTTGTGACCTTAAAGTAACTGTTTTCAGTTCTTCGTTGAATTATAATTACACTGGAAAACTCACAAGAAATTTGATAGGAATTGAGAGGAAACTATTCAAAAATAGATTAAACAACTGTACAGCTAGCATTTTGAGACAGAATTCTGTGACGGAGGCTTCCAGGAAATTAGTTGCTGTGGGAAAGTTGCAAGCAATCAAGTCAGATGATGTTTTCGAGAAAGTGAAATATGAGAACCTTGGAGGCAAAGATCGAGATAAAGATAAAGATGACATGTAATATCTTATTTTAATGCGAAGGGTCAATACGTCATACATACAACTTGATATATTAGAGAGACAAGAAACTGATGGTGAAATTATCGTCCACTTAGATGCTACTGGTAGTATAATTCGAAAAACACCATCGTGCCAAAAGAAAATTTTGCTGTAAAGAATAACCATAAATAGCCGATATTTAGGACTTTAGTTTCGCTCTAATGAATGCCGTCTTGGTCTTTTGGAATAATATGAATATAACAACCTATCTGAGTGTTGTATACGATATTGTGATAATGAAAAAAATTGACGACTTGAATAATTTCATCACAATTCATATATGTTGTTCACACTTCTTCGAAATTGTTGCCAATGATATAAAAAAATGTGATTTCGACAATTCCGAACAGAAGTTTTACGAAGAAGTACTCACATCTGTATTCAACATGAATGATTTCCACATATCTTATGCTTGGTTCGAACATTTCACAATACTTTTAAATCCCAAATATATGGGGAAAATGCAAATTCATCCCTAGAAGAGATAATGAAAATTTCGATCGATCCCGATATATTAGCTGATAAGGAGGAAGACCAGTGTCGTAAATTTACTTCCGGTAACTTAAGAGGCGTGGAAGAAGATGATATTTAAAGACATACCTAGTCCATTTTACGAACATTTACATGGTATATATAATGCTTGCAAGATGAAATTGGAAATAACCAAAGATGAGAACGACAATTTGAATCCATATTATTCCCCGGAATATTTTGACTTATGTCTTAAGAAATATTTTCCCAACTTACCTATGTGGAGCGGTATACGAACACAGAATCTTGGAAGAAGACTGAGCAATGCCGATGTCGAAAGCTGGTTCTCCATTGTCAAAAATAGAGTAGTATCACCACCATCACGATTTCAAAAACACCATCAGACTCAAGACGGCATCAATGAGTTTTTAGTAGAAGAGTGTCTACTCATATTGGAAACCATAAGATATAGTTAAGAAGTCTCTAATGTTTTGGTTGTGACAATTACTGCAGCCACTATGAATTAGGAACATTAAACTATAGAAACCAAATCAGTAGTTCTAAATGCAGTTCTGATGGTGACTCACCTCTGTTGCGGTTGCAGAAACCTTTGGGTGATCAGACAAATAAAATGGAATATGATGAAGTATACAGTGATAATAGCATTGAGGAAGAGGAACAGCCAAGCACATCAAAGCCAGTTGCAGGCGTCAAAACTGGTACATATACAGTCTGTCCAAGATAAGGTTGAACAGCATGGGGATCTCGAAAACGGTGAGAGATACGAAGTCGGTTAAATGGGGAAAAAGTTGCGCCTTCGGAAGCTCATATCAAGAGCCTTCGAAAATTTTGAAAATTATTTTTAGTTTTTGAGTTATATCGAAAAAAGTGAATTTTTGGAATATCTATTTTTTTTTTTTTGCCGTATTATTAGAGATACAGCAAAACTGAGAATACTTTTTCATAGCAACTTTTGATGACGTTCAACGTGGTGATACCGATTTTTTTATGCGACGTTTCGTATTCGTGGAACCATCATCAACTTTTGTTTTTTAAATACGGTCCTGATAATTTTTTCACAGATTCTGAAAGGTTTTTTTATTCTGAATTCAACCATGTATTATACCTATCTCCTATCGTTTCCGAGATCCCCATGCTGTTCAACCTTATCTTAGACAGACTGTATACTAGTTTCGAAATCAGGAGAGTCGAACAAGAAGACTGCAGCCAAGTATGAACACAAGTATGTCGCAGTGTGCCAGGGTGATATAGAAGCTGATGGGCAGGTGAAAGTCATGTTCTTGAAATTGTGTGATAATGAAAAAGAGCAGATTTTCAAATTTGACGAGAAAGATATTAGTTACATAAATGAATCACAAATTTTGGAAATACTTTCAGAACCAAATCCCGTTTTGAGAGGAAACAGAGTATTTTATAAATTTGTTAATTTGGTCGACATATTTGAACGTGGTTGAATCTTAGCCAACTGGGATTTTTATTATGCTGACAATATTTTCATTCTTTGAATATAAGAATGCCAAAGTTGATTCATTCTTTAACACCAAATTCTATTCTTTAAAATGCCTTCAGTTTATATAAAAGTATAAAACATTTTTTTCTAATTGTTCAATAAATATTTCGCTGGTGAATTCACTAACTCACTATTATCATTTCCATGTCACCATCTGTCATTTCCATGAAATCCAATATCATTTCCGTGGAATCACTTTTCAAAAAATGTCCAAAAATGGAAATTCAATTCTTTTCGAAAGGGTTCTCATATCTATGAATTTATTTCAATGGAAATGAAGCTAATAATGCAGGTTGACAACCTATTTGCACTTTGATGACATAATTACTCAATTTCGGGGCAATCACCCATATAGTGATTGCAAGAGGTGAAATTGGATATAACCAAAAATGAGAACGACAATTTGAATCCCTATTATTCCCCGGAATATTTTGACGTATGTCTCAAAAAATATTCTCCCTACTTGCCTATGTGGAGAGGTATACGACCAGAGAATCTGGGAAGAAGACTGAGCAATGCCGATGTCGAAAACTAGTTCTCCATTGTCTAAAATATAGTACTGGATGGACAATATCATCAGAAATGCAGCCGTGATCCGAAAAATTTGGAACAGGGTGCTATCGATTCACAAAAAGATTACTACAGAGATTCCTAAAAGCCGTTGTACTAAGAGGAAATCACCACCATCACGATTTCAAAAACACCAGACTCAAGACAACATTAATAAGCTTTTAGTAGAAGAGACAAGGTACATACCGTAAGAAAACATATGGTGAGAAAAGAGAAATTACGTGCGGGGTTCCACAAGGTCCAACCCTTGGACCCACCCTTTTCTCAATTTATGTAAACTCTATAACTAATTTGAATCTAAAAGGTATCAAACAATTCGCAGATGATACTACCGAGGGGGCGACCACTCTCTGCAATACGTGTACATTTGGTCTGAAATCACTTGCAATCGTCACTGAAATCCCCTGAAATCCCGCAGTCAATTTGCAATCGCCGAAATCCCTATCTGCAATCCCGCAATCGCTTTCGCAATCGCTTCCGCAATCGCGGAATTCATCGAATTCAATGATGGAGGGGTATTTGCGGGGGCCATTTGCGGTAAACCAACGAAGGTATATTATATTTTATGTTGTTTTTCGGTTATACGTTAATCTTTGAAGAATCTCTAGTGTAGTTTGAGTTTTGTGATTCAGCACAGGTGGTAACAAAGGTGGTAAGTACATACTGAAGTTGATTACCTACTATAAAATTCATCTCGTGCCAAGCAATTGGCAGAATATTTTAGAACAAAATTATCAGGAGAAATATATGAACAATTAAAGGCACTTACCGCAGGATCAACAGAAATAAAAAAAGCTGCACTATATTTGTTCAACCAAGACAAACCTTCAATTTGCTATAACATTGTGAAAATGATAAGAAGAAATAGTGGTGGTTTCGTTGAGTACCTTAGCAAACCCAAAATAACAATTCTTGTAAATGTTGTCCTGATACCCGCTAATCAGTCAACCCAAGATAAAGACATCTCCGACCATTCGAAACACGCCTCCATGGAAAGATCTCTCAAAAGTGCAATCCACGTGGATGTGCCACAACACTCACAACATTCATGTAGTTCTCTGTTTCTGCCAGATACAGATATAATCAATAATGTCATGACATCTACTCCTTATCATAACACAAAATCTGGTGAATTCGCAAAGTTCTGATGGAGACGGAATCATATATCTATTTATAATGACAGCTCATCTTGTGGGGACAAAGTTATTATTGATGATATCACAACTGCTCCAATCAGAACCGAAGAAGTAACTGTTTCATATGAGGTAGACGAAACGAATGATCCAGATATTACACCAAATAGTCGTATAGGTTCAGTTGAAAACTTATCGACCAGCAATGAATATATACCTGCCCCTCTCACCACTCTACACAATGCTAAGAAAGGACCAACGATTTTACTTCCTCCAAATGCTAGGAATTTGAAAACAAACAACTGTAAATACAAAAGGCTATCTTACAAAACTTGTAACATACTGGAAGGATCTTTTTACCTCGGAAACGATAGTTTGCAAGCGGTGATCAGAGAAAATAAATTAATCAAGGGATGGACATACTTACTGGAGCAACATTTTTTCAAGCACGTTAACAATGTTTGTGTGATAAATTTCAAAGGAAACCGGTATAGTTCCAAAAATGACTCCTTTACAATTTATGCATATTGCTGTCATCCATGCAAAAAATTCGTTTTCTCAATTGATGATACTTCGGCTCATAAAGACCACAGGGTGAAAGTTATGACTAATTCGAAGGATTACAATCACCTCAAAAGTAATACAAGGTATCTGAAGGGTTACCAACGAACATTATTCATGCAGGAAATAAATACTATTAAGCCATCGATATTTAGACATGCATTGCCATCGATCGTTCAATCGGGCAATTTACAGAATATCAAATCAGATGCTGTTTTAAGGAAAGTACGATCTGAGAAACTTGGAAGAAACGACCGACACAAAGATGATTTGATAGATCTCATTCTAATGCAACGGTCCAATTCAACATACATGAAAATTGTCGGTCAGCCGTTACATGTTTATTTATATAGTCGCAAACAATTGGAAATTGTAGAAAAGTTTGGTGAGAAACCAGTTTTACACTTAGATGCTACAGGTTGTGTAGCAAGAAAACCACCCTCAACTGACAAAAAAGTGTTCTATTATGCTGGAGTGATAAATATTTGCAATAGAACCGTACCAATTTTGGAAATGTTCAACTGCAACCACGAAATGATATCCATTGGAGGGTTACTTTCAGAATTCAAATCATATTCTTTACAATATTCGAACAGATGGCCCATATTTTCTGCAGTTACCCACTGATAAATGCCACCCTCTTTTTCTTCAATAAAATGGACTTGAAGCAATATCTAGACTTGAAATTTAATGTCTGTACAGGTAAAACACGACTGGACGCAGTAGCACCAATCCATATATGCTGTGCGCACTTCTTGAAAATTATCTGCAACGATATTAAGAAGTCCGGAATAAACGAAAGTGCCAAACAACATATAAGAGATTATGGCAGCATGCATAAACTTTACTAATATAGATCAAGTGGTAGTTTGGATCGAACATTTGATTATCGTGCTAGGTTCAAGAAACCAAACTGAAGAGACAGAAAAAGCATTCGGGAAGCTATTGCACCTATGTTCTGATGATCAGAAACCAGATTTTCCTAAGGTGAAGATTGAAACGATTCCTCAGCAGTCAGATGCCAAGGAGGCCATTTATGCTCATAGTCCTTATTTCAAGATGTTTTCGAAGTATTTTCAGTCCATTCCACCACAAAGTGATACTGAATCAGATGCCGAAATAAATAATAATCCATATTTCAGCATTGAATTTCTGAATTTACTATTGAAGAAATATTTGCCTATTCTTCCACTTTGGACCGGAATCATTTATTAAACTGATCCAAGTTCCTACACAAGATTCAGTAATGCGAATGTTGAAAATTGGTTTGCGCAAGTGAAAAATCAATTGTGTAATGGATTGTAAAATCAGAAATGTAGCAGGGTTATACGAATTTTACGGAAAAGAATCGTATCTATACATAAAGAAATCATGTTAGAGATTCCTAAACAAGGTTTGACTTCTAAGGCCTCTAAGGCAAAAAATATGAAGTTGACGAACTTACAGTTGGAACATTCCCAAAAAGAACAGTGGCATAAAAAAATGTTCAGAAGGATAATAACTTTCACGGAGTTACTTTGAAAAGGACACTTACGGAGATGAACAAAAAGCAAGAATGTCATTCGGACTATGCCAATGTTAATTCAAAAAATCAAATAAAAAATCGAGACACGGATTTCAGGAGCGCCATGAGTTTGAAAAATACTGAGGATTCCAATAATGTGTCAACAGATGAAGAGGGTTTAACTTTTTCAAATTCGAAGAAACGAAAAATATACGAAAGAAAAATGAACGTTTCATCGAAATGCCACGAATTCTTGGAAGAACTGAAAAATGTTGATTCAACTTATTTGTATCAGTTAAAACAGAAATCTGAAGCATGGTTAAATCAAAGGAGAATGCGTCTCACGTCTTCCAGTTTTGGAACTATTTGTAAGACAACTTCTGATAAAAGTAGATGTGCTCTTGCCAAGAGATTACTATATGAAAAAGTCTTCCCAACACAAGCTATGAAACACGGAAACACATACAGGGTGACCCAGGGGTGCGTGCTTGGTCCATAACTTTTTTTCTATCCAAGCTATCGACTTGATTTTTTTTTCAAACGATAGGTCCGACAATGAAGCACATTCTGAAAATATTTTCATTTATATACAGGATGTCCCAAGATTAAATACATAACTAAGTTCTGTTTTTTTAAATGGCAACCACCCATTTTTGTTACATTTTTGGATTCGCTACTAAATTGTCGATATAACGCACCCGGGTTTCATAGACTTATCTGTAATAGTTTTTGACGTATGTCAATTTATGTGTCAAAATAGCTTCGTGCATGGACCCACAAAAAAATTCATAACTTCAGAACCATGCAAGATAACTCAACCAAATTATTTCCAGTCGATTCCTCAAGCTTCAGCAAATCTTTTGAAATGCAAGCGAACTCGAAGACGATGTTCCATCGCCTACTACGTTTTTTTTTTAAATGACAAATTTCAAATGGCAATAACTCGACTTTTTCAAATGTAACACCCTGTATTTCTTTGCACTATTGCATGGCATTTTTTGAGAGCTTTCCGTCGATATAGGGTTTGTGAGGTCTACTTTGTGAAGTTTGCGAAATATGTTGCAAAATAAGAAATGTGGATGGTTTTTGAGGAATCTAGTAGGCCGCTGTCGTAAAATTTGAAACATCCGTGTACTGTCAATAATTGTACACAAATAATTGTTAACAATGAATTATACTCGCGAAGAATTGGTGAATATGGTCTACTGTATTGGTGAAGCTAACAGAAATTCTTTATTAGCAAGCAGAATCTATCATCAAAAATATCCAGAAGCAAGAACTCCACGGGTGTCTGCATTCCAAAAGTTAAGAGATCGGTTTGAACTCACTGGTGATGTATCTTATACTAAAAAGGAAATTGTTGGTGGTCGACACAACGAGGAAAATGAGTTACAAGTTTTATTGATGCTACAGGAAAATCCTCACGTAAGCACTAGGAAAATAGCAGCGGAAACAGATATTTCACAAAGTAGTGTGAACAGAATAATATTAAAACATAAGTTCCACCCTTTTCATCTGAACCTACATCAAGAATTGTATGGTGATGATTTTGCAAATAGAGTTGCGTTTTGTATTCAAATGAATGGCATGATTGACGAGGATCATAATACTTTGAACAAAATTCTGTTTTCTGATGAAGCAACATTTAAAAACATCGGATCGGTCAACAGACATAATATGCATTATTATGAAGTCGAAAATCCTCACTGGTTGAGGACAGTTGATCATCAACAGCGATGGTCGCTTAATGTTTGGGGAGGAATTATTGGAAATCACATTATAGGACCATACTTCTTCGATAATGTGCTGAATGGTGAAAGGTATTTACATTTTCTTCGCGAAAATCTTCCCAGATTGTTAGAAGAAGTGGATTTGAATACCCGAAGAACCATATGGTTGCAGCACGATGGTGCTCCAGTGCATAACCATAGAATAGTTCGAGAATTTTTAGATCAATCCTATCCTAATCATTGGATAGGCAGAGGAGGTACTATTCTTTGGCCCGCGCGATCCCCAGACCTTACTCCTATAGATTTCTTCCTTTGGGGGTACGTGAAGGAAAGGGTTTTCAGAGATCGTCCGACAACTGCAGATGATATGAAAAATAGGATCACGGAAGCCTTCCGTGCAATTGATGGAGCAATGCTTGCTAGAGTTCGGGACTCATTTACAAGAAGACTAGAAGCTTGTGTGGAACAGGATGGTGGCCTATTTGAGCATTTATAAGTAGCCTTTCCTCAAAATTTACACATGGTTTTCTGTTAATCACTCTTTCCTGTTCTTATAAAAATTACTAGAATTGTTTTGTTTGTGATGTACTCCTGTTTCAAAAACATATCCTTTTCATAATTGTATGGATATTTCAAATTTTACGACAGCGGCCTACTAGATTCCTCAAAAACCATCCACATTTCTTATTTTGCAACATATTTCGCAAACTTCACAAAGTAGACCCCACAAACCCTATATCGACGGAAAGCTCTCAAAAAATGCCATCCAATAGTGCAATGAAATATAGGGTGTTCCATTTCAAAAAGTCGAGTTATTGCCATTTGAAATTTGTCATTTAAAAAAAAACGTAGTAGGCGATGGAACATCGTCTTCGAGTTCGCTTGCATTTCAAAAGATTTGCTGAAGCTTGAGGAATCGACTGGAAATAATTTGGTTGAGTTATCTTGCATGGTTCTGAAGTTATGAATTTTTTTGTGGGTCCATGCACGAAGCTATTTTGACACATAAATTGACATAAGTCAAAAACTATTACAGATAAGTCTATGAAACCCGGGTGCGTTACATCGACAATTTAGTAGCGAATCCAAAAATGTAACAAAAATGGGTGGTTGCCATTTAAAAAAACAGAACTTAGTTATGTATTTAATCTTGGAACATCCTGTATATAAATGAAAATATTTTCAGAATGTGTTTCATTGTCGGACCTATCGTTTGAAAAAAAAATCAAGTCGATAGCTTGGATAGAAGAAAAGTTATGGACCAAGCACGCACCCCTGGGTCACCCTGTATGAACAAGAAGCAGTCGAAGCATATGAACTCCTTACTAATCAAAAAATGGAGACTGTTGGTCTGATAGTTCATAGAGAATTTCCATTTTTAGCATGCTCACCCGATGGTTTGATTGGTAATGACGTAATCATCGAAATAAAATGCCCATTTACGGTACGATATGATCATCCGGAGAAATCGATTGAAAATAGAAAATTGCCATATTTCGATGAAAATAATGATTTTGAGAAATCACATATATATAATTATCAAATTCAAGGAATTCTAAATATAAGCGAACGAAAGTGGTGTGATTTTATCGTCTGGACATGGGGAGGTACTTACATTACTAGAATTCAACGAGATCTTGTATTCTGGGAGAATATGCTGAAGCCTCTCATGGATTTCTATTTAAAGTTTATTCTTCCTGAATTGGTTGATCCACAAAAGAAGATATCCAAAAGAGAATTATTTGATCAAGTCTCGGATCAAGTGGAATTGTTTCAGCCAAAATCCTCCAAAGGAAATACAAATCATGTATTGGAGTTTTATGAAAATGGCCTGGTGAGAAATGATAAATTCTACCATCCTTGTTCATATGGAAATTTTGTTGTTTCAAAATATAATGAGCAATTTTCAGTTGAACTGAGGATAGATGATTTCCAAACATTACATGGTAGACAATGGTTGACAGATTTTGCTATCAATTATTGTTTAGCAGCTTTGCTCAAGCTACACCAGTCATCTGGTGATTATATTGTTCTGACAACTGATCAAACGTATGCGATCATGTACTGTTCGAATCAACTTGAAGAAGAGTTTTTCATGCAGTTGCCAAGAATAAATGAAAACAGCATAATAGTTCTCCCAATAATAGTTGGCACCGTTCTCAGCAGGGATCATTGGATACTTGCCGTGGCAGATTTGCAGAAGAAAACCTTCCTATACCTGGATCCAAGGTATAACCATCTATCTAAAGAAGCGATAGATAGCCTACATTGTTTCGAGAACTTCATCAAGAAATATAATGATTTCTGGAAATTTTCAGGAGACATGACGTTGAGACATAAAACAGTTCAACATATCAAACAGAGAGACGGGTATAATTGTGGCGTTTATATAATTTATTTTTTTTTGCAAATATTGAAAAGTGAGTCCTTGATGAAACCGAAGAATATGGATGATTTCCGGAATGATCTAATCCACATGCTTCTAGAAACTTCAGATCCAGAACAGATTAACTTTTGTTTAATATGTGGATTTGATGTTAGAGCCAGTGGGAATAATTGCAGTATGTGTAAAAGATCATCTCATTTTTCATGCACTGAAATTGATAATGAAAAATGTTTATTGTGTGTCAACTATACCAAACGAGGCCTTACGATATAGATATTTTGTTTCTGAATTATTATGATTATTTAAGATAATTATGAATGATTTTCATTATTAGACTTATTTAGATTAACCAAAGAAGACTGAAATGGTGGACATTTTATTATGATTTAGTTTCTTTTTTTTGTATGAAAATTCTGAGTATGTATGAAACACATGCTGTGTGAATAGATATTGGACAAATGGCATACTTAGAGTTAATCCAAAGATATTTACTGCCACATTCGCGATGACAATTGAAATTTTCATGAAAAGATTCATTTCTTGTCAGGGAAGCATTTTTTATTTTTCCATCACAGAATTGGACGAGGGGTCAACCACTCCGTCCAATATGTGTACACTAAGCGTCCAATCCCGATGCAGTCCGTCCAATCCAACCCCAATATGACCAATCTCAAACAAATATGACCAATCCTAGTCCAATACGACCAATCTCGTTCAACTTTGTCCAATTCCAGTCGAATACGTCCAATCTTGGTCCATTCTGCTCCTTCCTGGTCCATTCCGTTCAATCATGGTCCATTCCGTCCAATCTTGCTGCATCCCGTCCAATCTTGGTCCAATCCGTCCATTCCAGGTCCAATCCTGAATCGAGATGTCCAATCTTGGTCCATTCTGTCCAATCCAAACTGTTTCCAATGAATGATATTCCAATTCTGCGCTAATAAGCACTGCCCTTCCCCCACCTCTTTCCAAAAATATACTTTATTATGAAATGTTTCAACCTGAGATCGTCACTCAAATCAAATCCAGAACGTATTTATTTGGTTGCGTTGCGGGGTGCATGATATTTTATATTGAGTGACCAGTGTTCGTGTGTGCTATCTACGCAATAATATGGAAGGAAACAATGATCTTGTCAGTTGTAATCAGGTAGGTGAGATGATATATTATTATAGGTACTTATTCACATCATTCAAACTCCCATTTATTGATCTATTCTATCCCTGATTTCTCATAAGAAAACATAACAAACAATAACTGATGGGAATAGATCACCATAAGTAGGGTTTTATGGATGAATTGTAAAAATACAATGCATATGAGTTTGAGTCTTCGCATCCCCATTATTGTCTACACCCTACAATTTAGAATCGGAAATCGGAATTGCGCGGGACATCAGAAAAAGTTCGGCACGCGGCTGCCTCGGCGAATGCATGTCGATCGCTTACGCCGACGTTGCCAGTGTTGTCACATATCATTGTCGGATATCTGGTTCTATAGAAACCAATAATTTGATGATACCACTTATATTTTTGACATTTTCACAAAGACAATTGGATGAACTAATAGTTCATATGATGCATGCATAAAAACGATATCTCATTCAGCAACCGAAATAACAACACTCATATATTTCTTCTTTATAGGATGCTCTTGAACAAAACTTCCTAGGTTACATTACCGAAAGATTAAAAATTCCGAAGTATATGAAAAATGTACTTGAGTTTTCTGGATATGACTTAAGATTGAGTTTGATGAACTTGACACCAGAAGATATACTAAATATCGAGAACTTCGCCAAGTCAGATATGAAAGAACTGTTAGATGCTGATTGTTATCTAGGAGATTATTATGGAGTATATAAAAATAATATCAACCAATTCAAGTTTATACCTGGACATAAAAAATTACTTATTACCATTTGTGATACTTTGAAAGAAGAGTCATTGAAATGAGAATGAGAAATGAGAATGAGAATGAGAAAAACACATTCGGGTGCTGTAACTCCTGTTTTATTACGAGGATCGGCCATCGACTCGGCCAGCAGCCAATTGTCTGATAATCTTGGTGAAGATCCCGCGAATGACTTAGAAAATGAAAAAAGACATCTGGCTGATACAATCAAAAAATGGATGAGAACATTTTTGAGTAGCATTAATAAACTTGACAACAACATTAATTCAATTTATAATAGTTCTGACGACTCGTTTGTGACTCTATCACTCTCATGTGAGGATTCTAATGATGAAGGCATGAGATGGGAAGCCATTATTTGGTGTGATGACTGCCAAGGTCAAATTCGAATATCCAAAAGGGTGAGAGCAAATCGCCAGTCACAAAATTGGATTCTATCGAATTATTATAAACATTCCAGAAGTCACTACATAGAAAATGAGAAAGAAAATAAGGTGATGAACAAAAATAACACAATCAATAAATATTTCCAGAAATCTGTGCTGTCGAACGCTACTGACAATGTTGATAGCGAGGATAGGGTTTTGAATGAGGCATTGGTGTTCACCGAGGATTTTACGATGCAGGAAACATATGAGGCAGATGTTTCCTTGAGTGTCCAGAACGGCTCGTTATCTGAAAATTCCAGTAGTACCAGCAGCAGATGGAAAAATCAAAAATATTCCAGATCTGGTAGGAGGAAACGTATGCGAGAAGCGCAGAAAGACAACTGTCTAAAACTCACTGATTTCTTTGAAGTAGTACCAAGAATCAAAGAAATTGTGAATAACGATGATGTAGAATTGGCGAGTATAAACTACTTCAGGAATAAAATAGAAAACGAGCAATTGCAAGACATAATAGGGCAAAATCTCAACTTTCAGTCTATACTAGTCTATACATGGAAACAGATATTCGAATAAGTTGAAGATGTTTAGTTCTTATTTGTTTCTTGTGGGTGGCCGTCTATTATATAAAACATTATATGCGAATTTACCAGGTTCATTGCCTTCGATAACCACTATACAAAGGAACATATTCACTCAAGAAGATAGTTTTATAGAAGGTCAAGTGAGATTTGATAAGTTGAAAGATTTCTTAGAAAAACGCGAGGAAAAACGGAACTATCCGAAGAACATTTGGATAAGTGAAGACCAAACTGGCATAACCGGACGTATCCAGTATGATAGTGAAACTAATAATATAGTTGGTTTTGTTTTGCCCTTGAGAGATGGTCTTCCTATTACAAATTATTTTCAAGCCAAAACTGCCAGTGAGATAGAATTAATATTTCTAACACAGACCAAAAGTAACTACCTTCTGATGATAATGGCTCAGCCTCTTGTTCCAAATGCTCCTGCCTTTTCTCTGTGTGCATTTGGGTCGAACAATAAATTTACACATAAAGATGTTCAACGACGTTGGCAAATTCTAGAGCAGTTGGCTGCAGAGAATGGTATCAAGATAATAGGTTTCAGTTCTGATGGTGACTCTCGATTACTAAAAACAATGAGAATAAAATCCCAGCTACCCTATACTAAGACTGAAAACCAAGATCGAAACCAAGATAAAACGCCTTCTGACGTTACAGATCCCGATTGGTTTCAAGCCAATTTACATAATGAAGGATCCTTCTGCGTACAAGATACTGTACATACTGGAACTAGGCTTAGAACAAGGTTTCTTAAACCATCTATAATGCTGCCAATTGGAAAGTACATAATATCACCAACATATCTGACGTCACTAATGAATATGGTCACAAAAGACAAACATCTTTTATGTCCGAGCGACCTCAAAGGCGACGATAAAATGAATTATGATTCGGTGGAGAGAATCTGTGCCCCTCAGGTGCTGGAGTTATCTGAGAAACTCCCAGATAGTAAAGGGACGGCAGCATACTTGAAAATTGTACGATACGTCCTTGATTCTTTCCTGTCAAAAGATTTAACTCCTCTCGAGAGAGTAGAAAAGATATGGTATGCAGTTTTCGCTTTGCGTATTTGGAGATATTGGATCAAGATTATGAAGTATAGCGTGGTGGACAACTTCATACCATTGAGTACTTACATCAGTATAGAACTGAATGCTCATGCTCTAATTCTGGTCATCAAAAAAATGTATAACGACAATCCAAGTGAATTCTGTCCATGGATAATGAGCAGCCAGCCATGTGAGAAAATTTTCTGATCCACCAGATCAATGACCAGTACTTTTTCTACTGTCACCAACTACAGTATGCTCGATATTTTAAGAAGGCTTACAAGAATTCAGGCAATAAATGAAATCACCTGTGACACAGGTAAGCAAACTAGCAGTTAACTATTCGTTCAACAAGTACATGATTATCATCATACACAACGTGGAAATAAAATGAGCCAGCTTGCTCTAGTAAATTATGATGCCTTGTCTACTTTCTTATAATTTTACTTCCGATTTCAAAAACGCATATTCATAATAATTGCTACTATCATGATACTCAAAATTCGAAGTTGATAGATAATAAAGTCAATCATTTTAGCAACAATAGATCTACTAAAATAATCATTCACCCAAGCAAACAGTTTCTAATGATGAATAGCCATGGTAACGTTATTAATACCTCCAATAGGAATAACAGGTTTCAATTTCTTTTTCAATCGCATATTGATTGATGTAGTAATTAAGCTAGAAATATTCTTCACAATTTCAAATTGTAAAATATCTGCTTATTTTAAAATAGTTCATAATACGTATATTTTCAGAAAACGATATAATTTATCCAAGGGAAAACAATAGACGACTAGGGACAAAAGAATTACTGGACAAATCTCAACAACCCGATAATATTTTGCCTTCATGGATTCAAATAATGGAAACGGTTACCAGAACACAAAAACAAGTGGAAAATGACATGAGGGATCTGGGAATAGATATTGAAACTAACGAATGGGTATCAATGGATGTAGAGACTTTGAATTATTCTAATTTAGATGAAGGTAAGAAGATGAGTTACAAAATATTGTAGCTATTTCATTATTCCTTTTTTACAGGAATCGAAATAGAAAGAGGACATGTTTCGATATCGGAGTGCAACCCACAACATTCTGAAAATAGTAAGTTTGTTTAAAGTTGATTGAAACACGAATACTAATTCTGAAATTTTGGATCTTTTGGATAATGAAACAATAAGCGACCTACATATTTTAAGATCTCTAGACGCTGAAGATTCGTTGAATTTCAAAGATTTATCAGATAAGTTTTCTGAAAAAGATGATGATTTCTTCGAGAGAAGCTCTTATGTTAAAGTATATCATAAAAATAAGAGAATTGTGATAAGAAAATCAACGCTTTGCTGGTTCTTGTCTAATAGATAAAAAAATGAGCTCTGATAGACTTCAGAAAGTGAAGTTTTTGGTGGAACCTAAGCAGGATATTGTTAATAATACACGTGAATCAGAACAATTAGTAGAAGAAAAGGAATCATTGAAAATTGGTGAATGGGTAATATTTTCCATCAACTCTAAACTCGATAAAACAAGGGATAAAACTGTTAGTGAACCTTTGAGCTTCCTGAAAGTAGGGAAAATATTGAGCTTCAAATATCTGAATAAGAAAACAAAAAAGCAGCAGGAATATTCATTAGACTCAGCACCAGTACTTTCCAGAACTGACCCTAATGTTGGAGTACTATGCCAATGGTTCTTACTGAATCAAGAAGGGGAAATGACGCTCGACGATTGGCTTTCAATTATTTCATAAGATCGGACTGTACATATGTAGTATTGGTGCACCAACTCTCAAAGGAAATTACCTTTCAATTGATAAAGAAAATGTACAACATATTGTTGATCGCTACCTAGAAATTAGGAATGGTAATAAAAAAAATGATGACTCGTCTGATAGTGACGTTGATATTATTTATGACGATAGTGATGATAACTTGGAATTTAGCAACCAATCAGAACATGAAGAATCTCCTCCTTCTCAGGCTCTACCGGAACTGGAAAAATACTATGCCATATTTTATGAGGACAACTTCTACATAGGAAGGGCTATAAGACATTCTCAAACGAATGTATCCAGATTCAAATTCCTCAAATGGGACCTAGATAGATTGATTTGGCCGAAAAGTGAGGATTATCAAGAAGTTGATCACAAATTCATTTTGGATGGACCTATTTCACTCTCAGGCGTCGGTCCATTCGAAATGAAGCGCAAGGATTTCATACAAGTTAAGAAAAAATTCAAGCAGTTCAAAAATATTATTTAAATTGTAACCAAATCTTTATTTTCATGTGACAATGAAATCAATATACAGGGTGTTCCATAATATATGCGCAGGATTCCAGGTTGTCATAGCTCGTCCAAAGATACTGAAAAAACTTTCCATTAACTTATCCACTAAAATGCACCATTTTCGAGATACAGGTTGTCGTAATTTAAAAATGAAATTCGTTTTTTGCGAATATCTCTGGAACAAGACAGCTTTCGCAAACGTTTTATACTCATAATAGGCTTTGTTTTTTTTGCAGAATTTTGTTTTTCTGATGTCACAATCGATTTTGTAGGATTAATAGGTGTTTTTCTCCCCAACTTCTACGCTACTGAAAGAAGTTCAGTTCTGAACCACCAATGTTCTCTTCACAAAAAAGTAGTCTTGGTCGTAACCTCTCAAGTTGACCGTTTTAGAGAAAATTCAACTTTTATGTTTGAAAACATGGCCCATTTTGCGTGCATTGAAGCTAACGGCAGACATTTCGAACATTTAATTCAACTGGGTACGATTTATTGTTTTTTCTATTATTTCGTTAGGTTTTTCGTTACTTGTGCTAACGTTTAAGTCTATTGTGTTCAATGAGTAGAACAAGAATTATTCCGAAAAATGGACCATGTTTTTCAACATAAAAGCAGGTTTTTCTCGAAAATGGCCATCTCAAGAGTTTATGACCAGGACTACCTTTTTTGTGTAGGAAACATTCGCGGTTTGAATGAGCGGGCCAAAACTGTCCTTTGTTCAGTGGCGTAGAAGTGGTGGAGAAAAACACCTACTACCCCTTCAAAAATCTTCACCAATTATCATATGAGAAAAACAAAAATTCATCACAAAACATAGCCTATTATGACGAAAGCTGTTTTTTGTGGGATGAATGGTTCCAAAGATATTCGCAAGAAACGAATTTCATTCGAAAATGGTGCATATTAGAGGGTAATATACGAATATCATTAGAATAATATTATAGGTAAGTATAGGCATTTCTGGACGAGCTATCACATCCTGAAGTCCTGTCGTTAGGCTGCTGAATTTATAACAATACGATTTTGACGTTTCACATTTCTTCTCTGATACTTCCTATTTTAGATCGGCAAAAAACATTTGTGTGTCTCACTTCCCTTTGTTTGCTCGTGCAGCTGATATCCATGAGCTCCTAAGCTCATTTTCTGTACTTGTGACTGAATATACTTTGTACCTTCGCCGAAAAAAAAATTAGAAGCATGTTTTATTTTAATTTTTTCTCAACAACTACTTGTGATGAAATTTAGAATGTACTTTTTTTTAAATATGATCTCTTATATACAGGGTTATTGGTAATTCGATACATTCCTTTGGGGATGTGATAGGGGATGTATTAAGGACTGAATTCAACCCTAATGTGGCTTGGAGATTTTTCTTAAAATAACCGCTATAAAATGTTAAAGTCTACAATTCACAAACAAAAATACGACTTTGTATTCACAATTCATCTATGATCTAAATTATTTCTGGATTTTTTTCATTCCAAAGACCAAAGTGTTGATCATGTATTCTAGTTGAAAGGTTGAAAAAATGTAGAGCAGATTTTCGGGAAACTAATTTTCAAACCTCAAAGTCTACCTTTTGGAGAGAAACAGAAAATATTAAATATCTCAAAAACTATCAACATTTTCATAATGTATATTGGGGTTAAATTAACTCCTCACCACCTTCTCTATCACAACTCCAAAGGAATGTATCGAATTACCAGCAACCCTGTAGATTGAGCTGTCTTATAAAAAATTTTGAAGGTATGAATCGAGGTATAAATCCACTTCTAATTTTTCATTAGGTTGAAAAATAGAAAATTAATAATTCGAAAAACTTTCCCAAACTGATAATAATGTCAAATAAAACAAGTTATCAACAATGATAGTTAAAATTATTTTAGGAATTTCTCTGAAAATAATTCTCCTAGAAACCTACTAGGAATCCTTTTTCTTTAGTTATTTTAACAAAATTTCTGAAATTTTCTTTTTGGGTATTTAACCAAGATAAATAATGCAACTAAGTGAAGAAAATAATTCTGGCATTTGAATGATTTTTTTTTATACAATTGATGTTGAAATTATAATGGTGCAAGGTTTTTGAAACATTCATGTTGTTTTTTACTTCTTGAAATCGAATTAAAAAATTGTGGAATTAGTATTTGCAACGCTTTTTTTAGGACAGCAGGACAGCGTGTACCTCGTGTACCTGTATACATAGAGATATCATGCAACGCGTGAGTTCCTATAACCTTTCGTACCTGTAATGTACCTAAATGAATACTTTTTTGTGATATTAATATTTCAAGTAGTAGGAGTTCTATGTATTTATATATATATTCATGAATATTAAACAATTGGTTTTGATATTTGTTGGATTTTTTTATTTCTCATCGCAATGACCATACCTAACCACATTGTGTCAAAATCCATGAATTAGTTGAAAATAAAAAAAGAATACGAGTGTGTATGCCAAGATGAATTTTATATCCGAGGTTATAACAACAAATATAAGATATATTCTCCTTCATGAGGCTTTATTTTTTTTCATCGCCCTTTTTACTTCATCAGATTGTAAATATACACACATACCTACATATTAAATGTATTTATTATGTATCCCTCTTCTGATATAATTAGTTTCATGAGTAGGTATCTGAAAAACCTCAATGAAATTCACTTCAATGAATGAGATAAAAGAATCAACGAATGCATCGGCGATCAATCAGGTCCGAAGTCAAGTCCAATCTTGTCCAATCCCGTCCAATCCCGTCCATTTCAGTCCATTTATGATTAATTATGTCCAATATTGAATAATATTGTCCAATCTAATGCAGTCGGTCCAATCTCCCACAGTCCGTCCAATCCCGTCCAGTCTTGTCCAATCCCAACCATTTGGATAGATTTTGTCCAGTTTATGTCCATTATTGTGAAATTTCATCAAATTAGGTCCATTACGTCCAATCCCGTCCAATATCAACAAATGCAGTCTTTGTGTACGTTTTCTGGACAAGTGGTTGACCCCTCGGTCAGTACGTCACACATACAACTTGATATATTAGAGAGACAAGAAACTGATGGTAAAATTATCGTCCACTTAGATGCTACCGGTAGTATAATTCGAAAAACACCATCCTGCCAAAAAAAAATTTGCTGTAAAGAATAACCATAAATGGCCGATATTTAGGACTTTAGTTTCGCTCTAATAAATGCCGTCTTGGTCTTTTGGAATAATATGAATATAAAAACCTATCTGAGTGTTGTATACGATATTGTGATAATGAAAAAAATTGACGACTTGAATAGTTTCATCACAATTCATATATGTTGCTCACACATTTTAAAAATTGTTGTCAATGATATGAAAAAAATGTTATTTTGACAATTACGAACAGAAGTATTATGAAGAAGTATTATGAAGAAGTACTCACATCTGTATTCAACATGAATGATTTCCACATATCTTATGCTTGGTTCGAACATTTCACAATACTTTTGAATCCCAAATATATGGTGAAAATGCAAATTCATCCCTAGAAGAGATAATGAAAATTTCGATCGATCCCGATATATTAGCTGATATGGAAGAAGACCAGTGTCGTAACTTAAGAGGTGTGGAAGAGGATAATATTTATAGACATAGTCCATTTTACAAACATTTACATAGTATATATAATGCTTGCAAGATGAAATTGGAAATAACCAAAGATGAGAACGAAAATTTGAATCATTATTATTCCCCGAAATATTTTGACTTATGTCTTAAGAAATATTTCTCCAACTTACCTATGTGGAGCGGTATACGAACACAGAATCTTGGAACAAGACTGAGCAATGCCGATGTCGAAAACTGGTTCTCCAAAAATATAGTACTGGATGGACAATATCATCAGAAATGCAGCCGAGTGATCCGAAAAATACGGAACAGGGTGCTATCGATTCTCAAAGAGATTACAACAGAGATTCCTAAAAGCCGTTGTACCAAGAGGAAATCACCACCATCACGATTTCAAAAACACCAGACTCAAGACAACATTAATGAGCTTTTAGTAGAAGAGACAAGGTACATACCGTAAGAAAACATAGTGAGAAAAGAGAAATTACGTACGGGGTTCCACAAGGATCAATCCTTGGACCCATCCTTTTCTCAATTTATATAAACTCTATAACTAATTAGAATCTAGAAGGCATTTAACTATACGCAGATGATACTACATTGCTATATATCTCTGAATCATCCGAGAGTTTGTAGCTGGATATCCAGGGAGACATGGAAATAATAGGAAAATGGTTGTGCGTTGTGCAGCCATAAGTTAACATTGAACGTGAATAAATCATCATTTATGTGTATTGGTAAAAGCAGTAATCCACTGATATTAACCTGCATAGTTCATCACTTAACCATTCAATTAATGTCAAATTTCTAGGTCTTATAATAGACTGATCTCTGGATCTTGGAGTGACCACATTGATTATATAAAATAGAAAATATCGGCACCTACAGGAGTGTTGGGGGAACTGAACTATATTCTCCTAGGGAAATTCTTAAGATCTGTATATTTCTCATTAATTCATTCACATCTACAGTGTCTCACTATAATTTTGGCTACATCATTTAACAATCAATTAAAACCCCTTGAAGTACTCCAGAATAAAGCGATGAAGAACTTGTACCAATTGGATAACTGTTTTCACACTCTGTCTGTATCAAGATTTCAACATTATGGCTATAAAGAAAATATTCATCTATCAAAACAACATTTTTATTCATCGAATACTAGATAAACCTTGACACTCAAATATAACTATCAAACACAGGCATAATATACACACATAGAACACAAGAAATCACTCTCAAATAGAACTGCCAGCTATCAAAACACGAAAAGTAATGAGTTCCATATACTATCAGGACATGAAATATAATAATAATATACCAGAATATCTCAAGCATCTACCACTCAACCAATTCAAATCTGAGATGAAAAAACATCTTCAAGAAACGGAAGGACAGAGGGAAATTAAATTATATATGAACATTTTTTTTTTTTTTTTAAATTAGACTCATACTGCCTTGTTTTTGTTTTCAGTGACTTGATATAGGTAAGAGGTGTTATATTTTACTATATTATACTATCATAGATGGGAGATTACATTAAAAATCACGTCAAACAAACTGACACTCTTAATCTCGCCTTTAATTGCGGAGTTTTTATTGTATATTTCTCTGAAATGTATATCAATCAGAAATCTCTTTCGACCCCCATGGATGTTTTCCTAAAGGCAAAATATGGAATCATTTCTATTAAAATCCTCTGATGACATGGAAAGTTTATGTTTGATATGTGGTGATAATGTACAAATAATAGACAGAAAAATATTTCAAATGTCTAAGTATACTCCACCAGAAATGTTATGAATCAAAAAATTCAGAATGCAAACTTTGTAGTTCACAGTGAGCAATAAAAATTATTATAAAGGAGATTTTTGCTCCAACGAAGTTGTGAGAATTTGATGAATTTTAATGTTCTATAAGGTGTAACGAAAAACATTAGAAAACCAGTGGGATATCCCAAACAGTTTATATCAAGAATCAAATGGTTCAGATAGAGTTGTCAATTCGATTTTTCCTTTCATGTTATGTAAACATCGTTTATTTGAATGTTGGGATCTCGGTTGATTTATTTATTTATGACTTTATATATGTTTCACCAAAACTTTTGTTTTGAGTTTCTGTTCAGTACCTACCTCGGTACTTACCTGATGTTTATTGATTACAAGTTCCTGATAGGTATGAGCGATTAGTTGAATTATTCATGTCATAACAAAACTTTCTGTTTTTGTTCAGTACTTACCTGATGTGATGTTTTTTACCCCCATAAACTTAGCAGAACCATTTCAGAATTTCGAATTTTCAACTATGACATAATTTTTCCGAGAATTTTTCGCTAATTTGTTGCTAATTTATTACCATAACAAAAAAATTGTAGCTCATCGTCTTTTAAGAAAATCCATGGTTCTGCTAGGTTTATATGAACTTTGCAGAGCCACAATAGCAACAAATTTTGGCAGCATCAGTTTTTCTGGAAAGTGAATAGATATCAAGTGGTTCTGCCAAGTTCATATAAACCTAGCAGAACCAAGGATTTTTTTTAATAAACGATGAACAACAAATTTTTCTTAAGGTAATAAATTGGTGACAAATTATGACATAGTTGAAAACTCAAATTTCCGAAATAGTTTATGGAGGTGTTTTTTCTCATTCTGCCAAAGAATATGATTGTATATTCATATAAAAAGCATATTTTTTTTAGTATCTATAGCATGGATAAATGCAATATTCAAAAATGTTTGTGACTTTTAATTACCTAAAAGTATACAATGATATTAAATTTAATACAATTAAGTTCCTTGAGTACAGGGTGGCTGGAATTCCAGCCTCATCATTGGGATCTCGTAAACCGTAGGAGATACAGGGTCGGTTAAATCACAGCAAAGTTGCGCAATTTGATGCTCAACAAAATGCCGTTCTGAATTTTGGAAAATTCCGAATCCTCTCGGAGATATCCGAAAAAAATCGAAATTCCATAAAATCGTTTTTATTTTTTTCTTGCATTATTAGAAGAAATTAATGGATATAAATAACACTTTATCATGGCCACTTTTTCTTCCCTACAACATGACGTTTCAAATGTTTCAATGACTAAAATTCCCTGGTGTAAACTGCAACACTGAATCTCCCAAAGATAACTGAGATATGGCCCAGAAGCATTGAAAACAGCAAAACAGGACACACAGTATTGAAAAGGAATATTCTCAGATATATATTTATAAACACAAAAAAAAATTGAAAATATTAATTCTTTCTTGGTTTATTCAACAGAAAATCACTACTTTCCTGGCTATATGCCATGAGGAATATTGAGTTACATCTATTGAACACACATGATAAGAATTTGAAAAAAAAAATCTTCTGAAGTAGAGAATTTGCACTCGAATTTGCATTCTCCTTCACATAAAGATATGCATATAATATTATTCTGAATATTCAACAAAAAAAACAAATACTTTCCTGGCTGTTTGCCATGTCAAACATTGAATTATATCTATTGAATATCCAAAAAAAAGAGCATGAAAAATCAAAATCCCCTGAAATTGAGAATTGATGTTATTTCTCAAATTGAATATGATGTATTATGATATAAAAATAGAGCTTACCAATATGTCCAGTATTGAAATGAAAAAAACAGAAAGAACACAATAAAATATAGAATGATTGGGAGTAGTGTGAAACATTTTGGTCAGCAGTGTTGACCCTTATGTATTTTTTACTCTTGGTGTGCTGCCAAATCTACTACCAACAAAATATACCTTTTGTATAGAAATCCTTCATTCAGTAGGTGAAAAAAAAATCTATACAACACAGCACATGCAAAAACAGGTCATTGTAAGTAGGTATTCTTGAAGTAATGTATGCTGATTATGGGATATTCTGTATTCAATTCACTTTGTTAATCTCTTATGAGCAGTATAGCTGTTGAGTAATAATTGAATGTAAATTAAATACAACATTGAATACTGGTACATTGAAGACTGGAACCGAGGGGGCGACCACTCTCTGCAATACGTGTACATTTGGTCTGAAATCACTTGCAATCGTCACTGAAATCCCCTGAAATCCCGCAGTCAATTTGCAATCGCCGAAATCCCTATCTGCAATCCCGCAATCCAGCAATCGCTTTCGCAATCGCTTCCGCAATCGCGGAATTCATCGAATTCAATGATGGAGGGGATACGACCATTTGCGGTAAACCAACGAAGGTATATTATATTTTATGTTGTTTTTCGGTTATACGTTAATCTTTGAAGAATCTCTAGTGTAGTTTGAGTTTTGTGTGAAAAAATCGACATTATGTTGGTTCTTCTCTGACAAAAAAGGGAAACTATCATCTGACAGAAAAATTCGTTGTCGAGGTATCAACACGAAGTCAAAATCTTGGTCAAATGAATAATTCCACTTCTTCTGCCACAAAGAAAAAACAGAACAAAGAACCGTCAATCAAAAAAATCGACGAATCATCATGTTGAGGAAACCTCGGATAGTGAAAGTGACGTATGCTATTCTGAGAAATCGGAATTTGAAAATGAAAGTTTTTCGGAGGAAGAATCAAATGGAGAGAAAGAAACGTCAATATGCATTGATAAGTATTATGCAGCTATTTATGACACCTGGTATATTGGACGTATTTTAGAGATCCTCGAAAATGATACCTTTAGAATTAAGTTTTTGAAATCGGAGCTGGATATGTATACAGGCTGATCCACGGTGGATGGCCTATTAGAAGTATCTGGAGAACGAAAAGACAGAACATTCTGAAAATTGGGATGCTTTGATAATTGAACATTCTCCATCCGTCTAAAATATTTTCATCGATACAGTGTTGCCACTTCTATCAGAAACAACTAGCAACTTCGTAATTTTAAATAGACCACCCTGTATTTTATTGAATTTATAGATTCTCCTTGAAAAGCTGATTTCATCAATGCATCACACTAAGGGTCTAGCAGGAATGATTCCAGAGATATGGGGTGTTCATAATCGAGATTTTTCAATTTCAGGATTTTTTTGTGTCGAGAGTATTCATTATTGATCAAAACGGTTTACATGTCCCTATCTTAACTTTCGATTCACTATTTACTGACATTTAATTGGAACAGATACAGGGTGATCGGAATTCTGAATCTTGGAGCACCCTGTATTTTTTCCAATCAAATTCCAGTAGATAGTCAATCAAAAGTTAAGATAGGGACATGTAAGCCGTTTTGATCGATAATGAATAGTTTCGACACAAAAAAATCTTAAAATTGAAAAATCTCGATTTTGAACACCTTATGTCTCTGTAATGATTCCTGCTAGACCCCAAGTGTGATACATCGATGAAATCAGCTCTTTAGAAAGAATCTAAAAATGCAATGAAATACAGGGTGTTCCATTCGAAATAACAGAGTTGCTAGTTGTTTCTGATAGAAGTGGCAACACTGTATCGATGAAAATATTTCAGATGGATAGAGAATGTTCAATTATCAAAGAATCGCAATTTTCAGAATGTTCTGTCTTTTCCTTCTCCAGATACTTCTAATAGGACATCCACCGTGGATCACCCTGTATATGGCCTAATAAGGAAGATATTCAAGTTGTGGAAGAAAAGTATATATTGTATGGGCCAATCGACTTAGTCGGTAATGGACCTTTCCGCCTTAAAAAAAATGATATAATGAATATTGAGAAAAAATACAAAGATTCAAAGAAACAGTCAATTCGCTAACATGAATGCCAGTATAATAATTATGCTATGTTCACTTTTATAAAATGAAAAACACCAGAGTTGAAAGAATAATAAAAATGTTTATATAAGACAAAATGGTTTTTCAATAATTCCAAATTTTCTTCAATTATGTTTATACTTTATTTGGTTGTATAATCCGTCAAGCTTGAATAATTAGGTAGATGCTCTACAATCCGAAAGGATTACCTATGTGGTAATTGACTTAAATCACATATAAACTCTAATTTTAGAAATTCACCATTGCAATCAAGCTAGCAAATGAACACACAATCGCGAAAATCGTCTTGCAATCCTCAATATAATTTCACAATCCCATTGCAGCCCCTGTAATCACTCTGAAATCACTGAATTCAGTTCGCAATCCTCCGAAATCGCAACAATTTACAAAGAATTCTCTGAAATCGCTGAAATCATGGGATTTCCGCAATACGTGTACATATTTTTCAGAGGTGGTCTCCCCCTCGACTGGAACCTTTGGTTTAATCTTCTCCTGAAGATGCTAACATAATTAGTGAAACATGTGATGAGGTGTAAAAAAATTATTTGGTTAGAGGTAAAATGGTGTGTAGTGTATTGAATACTGGAATGAAATGAGGTGTAAAAAAACAGTTTGGTTAGAGGTAAAATGGTGTGTAGTGTACTAAATACTGAAATAACTATAAAACAAGCTATACAATGATCTCTATGAACAGACAATATCAGGATAACCCTGTATGGTATATGATGAAATGCAATAGATAAGTGCTCAGTTTTTCTACTCACCACTCTAGCTAAAATAATATCACCAGGCCTAAAGCTTTTGTAGATCTCAACCCTATCTTTCTCTGTAGCTCTAACGTCCTCCCTACGAAGCACTGCTCTAAAGGGCCTCCTCAAAACAGTATCACCAACACATTTTATGTTGCATTTAGCATATTGTTGTGTTATTATATACACTTGTGCAGTGATAATGTCACCTTGACCAGGAACTACTGTTTGCTCTCCACTACTGTGTACCTCAACAACTTTAACATTATCTTTCTCAACAATATCCAGACAACCAGTGAGTTGAGAATAAATGTATCCCTGTCTCTCGTAAGTGCCTTGTCCAGAGGTATATACTTTGTCACTAAGGCATAGCCTTTGACCAGGAAGACAAATCCTGAGTTCTGTCATTTGGGTAGGTATTTCCCGGTATTTCCACTATCACGTAATTAATAGCTTTTATTATTATTGAGCTCGTCAACTAAATCGAAATTCACTGAGGACTAAAAAGCTATTATCATTTATAATAAGTGGATAGAATTGATTTCAACATTCAATTCTCTACCACATTGACAAACACTGAAAACAACAATCAACCGCTACGCTAACCTAACATTCTTATTAATCTATCTGTGTGAAGATGGCAGCCAAAGATAGCAGTCAAAAATCTCCGAACATTGCCGAAGACCCAGTGGCGGACAACATTTTTTTTCTTGCCTTCAAATTAATAGAAGTGCCTAAGTCTTTCGAAACATTTCCATCACGTGATATGTTGAGATTCGTGATTTTGACACTGAACTACACTTTTTCCAGAAGTATTTCATAATCAATTTGATTTCAGAATAGTCACTTTTGTATTTCAGAAAGCGTCAGTTGTATTTCAGAATAGTCAATTCAATTTCAGAAAGCGTCAAATGTATTTCAGAATAGTCACTTGTATTTCAGAAAGCATCAATTGTATTTCAGAATAGTCAATTCAATTTCAGAAAGCGTCAATTGTATTTCAGAATAGTCAATGCAATTTCAGGAAATATCAATTGTATTTCAGAATAGTCAATTCAATTTCAGAAACTGTCAATTGTATTTCAGAAAGTATCATTTGAATTTCAGAAATCAATTGGGCGTGTACACCTTAGTAGAACTTTCAACTCAAACCATGTTTATAATGATCCTTTTATACATAAATAATGATTGACGACATCATTCGATCGAAAAATTAACTGGAATGTTTTATTTTTGGACATAAATGATAGTACCTTCTGAAAACGGAGACCCTCTTATGACGTAGAAACCCCATCTCGCCATATATATATATAAACCATATTTATATATCTACTACTGATATATGAATCATAGCTCTCCTCAAAGCGGGACCCATTTCTGTCTCTATAGGTAATGAAATCGACCAATAGGCGTTGATACCGACATAGGGAAAAAATAATAGGAAATTTGTCAAACCAATATAGCTGTTTCCATCCTTCACTTTTCGTTCTCATAGATTCAAAGAGTACCTCTCATTTTGGTCCCATTTTTGTTGAGATATCGTATAGGCGATGCGCCATATACAGAAATAGTAGATATATGGTTGGGTTGAAACTGACACTCTCCTGACACTTATTACTGTTGCCATATCATCCAAACAAAATATCCGAGAAATCGAAATCGATATTGAAATATCTTTTGATATCCACTACCACTACTGCAGAAAAATATATTCGAGTTGTCGATTGTAGGTTGAATCATTGGAGTAGGTATAAACAATCTCTAGACAACGAAATGTCTCAATCTCAAAACCATTTGCACCATTACAATTTCACAATAATCCAATATATTTCATAAACATAGCAACATTGCTTTGTTGACCAGTTTCACATGGAGCTGCAAAAAGTCAATCTAGGATAGAATTGATTTGTCAGAAATCATGTATCATTCATCTCTGTCTGGAATAGTCTTGTTTCAGTATTAGGGTTTTGACGTCACATCATCGCCTCGTTTTCAGAGGTCCGGAAAATCGGGGATTTCAATAATTTTTTATAAAACGTAGGGAGCTCACAGCAAGAAACGGTTTACGGTGGTGAGCTAGTTTGGGTGAGTTCTATCGAATTATGAAATAAAATTTTTTTGTGATATAAGCCCATTGTATTTCAGAAAAGTCAATGGAATTTCAGAAATCGTTCTCTATAGACTAATGGTGAATTCATGCACGACGTAACTTAGTCTTAACTTAAGACTTAACGTAAGATTGCCTCAAACATTTCTGTTAGGTATTCATGCACAACTTAACATAAAAATGTACGCAAGCGCAGAACGACAATTCCCAATTGTACCAACCTATAGAAATAATCAAATTTTCAAAGAGTGGTTTTAATTCATCATTCAGTTTTGAATATTTGGCGAATTTCTTTAATAATGAAAGTTTCAAAAAAAAAACATGTTGCTGTTGCCTTAGCAGCTTCTTTGTTAGCTATTTCAGCATATTTGGTTACCACCTATGAAAGAAAATTCTCAGTTAGACCTTTATTGAGAGATCGTAAAAGACTTGGGCACTTCTCTACTCTTGTGAAGTTTATAGAGGAAAGGGATCATCAAGATTATTTTAGGTATACTCGAATGTCTCCTGCTCTTTTTAAAAATCTCCTGGAACTAATCGAACATGACCTGAAAAAATATCCTTATAGGAATGCCCTTTCACCAGCTGAAAGACTAACATTAACTTTGCAGTGGGTATTCAAAAGATTTTCGTATGATTTTCATTAATTGAACATCAATTACTTTCAGTTTCAGTTATTTTCGAAAAACCGGCAAAAGACTTTTTAAAAAACGTTTATTATGTTATCTGGACAAGGTATACGGTCAAAATCGTTGGAAAAATGAATTACACATGTATTTATAATGTCGGTTGATCTTGAGAGACGAAATATGAATCTGCTGATCTCGCTGCTTTCCGGGAAACGGCCTGGGAAGTGTTGTACCTAGCTCGGTACCGTGGGACCGCTCGATGTAACTCCTCCCCCCTTAAGAGACGGCTTCGGGCTGGAACAGGACCGAAGGCGATCGGACTGATTGATGATTATCTTCGATCTTGATTTGGACTTCTGAGGGCTTCTTCTTCAACTTCAGGAATCTGCGAGTGATGTAGGTCAACAATATGAGGATGGCTATTGCGACTATAGTCCAAAACATCCAGTTGATTGATTGATCGTCATTGAAATCATCGATTGATAGTTGATTGGTTGCTTCGATGTGTTGCCGGAGCCGATGGATATCTTCTAATGGGACGTTTTCGATTCTGAGTGGTTTTCTCCGGACTATTTCAACTTGGGTGGAGCCGTTCATGATTTTTGGTAATACGAGGGGACTACCAAAACTTGTAGCCTGGTTGTTTTCGAATTTGACTGACTGGTATTCGACGCTGCAATTCAGTGGAATCTGAAGTAGAATGTTGCCTTGTACGGTGAGGAATTGTTCTTCGGGGCATTGAGTTTTAATCTTTATTTCTTCACGGCTGATGATCAATAAATACTCTTCATTTACTTTATTGAATATCAATAATGGAATTTCTACTGGTATTTGTAGACATCGGGATCTCTTGTCTTGGATGAGGGCGGAAATGCAGTCTTCAACAGGGTGGAACTTGAATTCTTCTTGCTCGCAAAGGAAGGTGTCTTCGACTTTCGTACAGATATGGTCCATGTACTGATAGTTTTCTTGTTCGAGAGCCAAATAAGGTTTATTTGGGATAATTAAGGTTTGATTATTGGTTGGAATTGGAAATAAATGGAAATATTGAAAGGTTTTCGGATGAATTATTGGAATTTCTATGGCAAAAATGATCTTAGCCTTAGTGAAGTAACAGTTTGTGTGCATAATAGAGTACCAAGTGTGATAATTAACATCTAGTATCGTATTGTGATCATTATGAAATCTCAATTCAGTTAGTATGTTCTTCAAGTTTTGAAATGGCAATATATCTGGATGAATAATATGTAGTTTTGCAAAAGTAATGGCATTTTCTATGTTGTCCAAGAGAGTAACGAATATGTTGGCATTCAAAAATATTTGATCCAACATATTTGTATAAACTGCATATTTTGAGAACTGGTCTGAAATGTTTTCTAAAGAAGCTTTGTTATCAGAAATATACTTGGAAATCTTCTTCTGATTATTAGTAATTGTTTCCATATCTTTCGAATATTGGCCGATTAATTGTTTGGATAATGAAATTTGTATATTGACATCCTTGACGATTTTTTGTTGATTTTCTTTCAAAGTTGTAATAGCACGATCGTATCTTTCGCCGTCTGAAGAATCGAGTGTACCGAAAAGAAACTTTTGTACTGTTCCTCCTGCATTGATCAATCCTCTTCTATTTCTGGAATATACTGGGTAATATATATTATTGAATTTATTTGTGACTTCGTTGATAATAGGTTCCAAATTTTCATAGGTATTCTTCAAGGTATAAAAATATCTAGATTGGTTACCAGTGAGATATTTGAGGTTTCGATAGCTTTCAATTAATTTGTTAATTTCGTTTTCTATGATTTTCAGATCAATTTCATTGATAAATACATGTTTATTGGTTATAATTTTGGATTGGCCTAATTTAAATGGGAGAATTCCGGGTGAGTTGGTGATTTGTTTCAGTTTAATCTCGTGAGCTTGGACCAGCACGGTCATCAGCTGAAGGAGTATCAGTCTCTTCATTTTGAGCCTGTAACAAAACGGGTTTTCTTAGTTCTTTAATGTGGATGGTTTCTGTCTTGCCTTTCTTATTCTTTATTTCGACTTTATTGTGCTCTAACATTCTAGTTATAGTATATGGTCCTAAAAATTTATTATTTCTTTTATTTCTGTTCAACGGATTTTTCTTATACACCTTCTGATTTAATTTGAATTCGTCGTTTGCATCGCCTTTGATATTTGATTTAGATATGATAGTTTCTTTTCGAGCTTGAAGCTTTTCTTTCACTTTGTCATATACTGGGTGAATTTTTTGTCTGTGATCTTGAATATATGCGGAAAATACTTCTTTAGGTACAAAAATTTCGTCTGCGCTTCTAGAGTCGGTATGTCCAAAAACAAGTTCGAATGGGGTGAATCCTGTTGTGCTATGAATTGAACTATTGTAACCTAATGTGGCATAATTGATCAAGTCTGATTCGTTTGGGTAGATTTCTTTCAATATTCTTAGTTGCTCAATTAATGTCGAATGAAATCTTTCCACAATTCCGTTAGCTTCGTGATGTCCTGGGGTAGTGAAATGTATTTTTACTTTATGAAGGTTCAATAGTTCTTTAACAGTCTCATTATTAAATTCTTTTCCACTATCTACTATGATTTTTTGTGGAGTACCAAAACAAGTGAAATATTTGAATAATGCATTGCATATGTTAATAGCAGTTTTTCCAGGAATTATAAGAGCTTGACCGAATTTTGAGAAGGCATCTATCAGGGTTAAATATATTTTGGAATCGAAAAAGAATGAATCGATATGAACTGTTTGAAAAGGTTTCGATGGAGTTTCAGTTAGAACAAGTGGCACATATGGATTTTGTCGAGCATATTTTGTTCTCTGACAAATTTCACATGAATTAATGAACTGTGTTACCGTTGATTT